CGAGCTGTTAAAGAAGAAACAAAAAAACGAGTTCAAAATCAATTTAACGAAAGAGTTGGCATACAAGTTGACATTGTTAAGCAAGGAACGGGAACAACAAACGAAGGCAACACATCGAGAAGATTTTTCGGAAATCCCTCTGTAACAGCTGAAATTACTCAAATTGATGAAACACTTATAAAAAGACTGGCTGTAATATTGGAAACAATTTGTTGTAATTTTGAAATTGACGCAGAAAAATTTGGAATCTACGCACGAGAAACAGCTAATTTAGCTATTTCGTTATACCCCTAGTATTGTAGCGGTACGCTTACAATTATGCACGCGCGTTTGGCCCGCGCGCCGAGTCCGCGCGCGCCCGCCATGTGACGAGAGTGGTGCGCGGCGCCGCCGCTAGGCGCCGCAGGCGCCACGACAAATCTCGTAAGAAAGAAACACCCACGCCCGGTATATGTATGACTCCGTGGGAGGTCCTCAGCCTGTTCCTCGCTTCAGGGTAATGTGCGCTTACATAGTAGGCCGTTATCCTGAAGCATAAGCAAGTACTTTGTACCCACGGAGCGTGCTCTACGGGCCTCAGACGTTGAGGGGAAGCGGAAGTTCCGGCCCCTCAACCCTGAGCGAGCTCAGGGCCTCCGTATCTCCGGCGCCTCGTCGAATCGCCCACCCAGGGCTAGTCTCGCCGCATCGCAAGGGACAGCCAGCAACACGCCGCGAGCAAAGAAGAGGGGGCCGCCTGTTACCCCCGGGGCACCCGAACGCCGAACCTCGCCGAGGAAGGCGGCAGCAACTCCCGACGGTCACGAGCGACGCCTGGACCGGGGGCCGCCTGTTTCCCCCGGGGCACCCGACCGCCGGACCTCGCCAAGGAAGGCGGCAGCAGTTTCCGACGGTCACGAGCGAGGCCTGGACCCCGGGATCTCACTCCGCCTGTGGCGCCTGATTGCGCTGCAGCTGCCAGACCGGGAGCGATCGCCAACAGATCCGCGGGCACGGCCGACCGTCGACCGGGCCAGACGGAGGACGTCGTCGGTCCGCCGAGCCCTCCGCTAAGGACGCCGACACGGCCGCGAACTCCCGGACGCCCAGGGAGTCCTGTCATCCGACTCCCGCACACGCCGACGAGGCCGCGAACTCCCGGACGCCCAAGGAGTCCGGTTGACCGACTCCCTTGCATGCCCGGTCACTCACCGTCCGCACCGGCTCCGGCGGCTAAACGCAACCGGCCCTCGGAGTCCTCCGGGCGGTTTGAGGAGGTGCTGCGTCGCATCAC